TTGTCGAATTGCTTGCTACGAACTGTAGAAATTGAAAAAAAAATAAATTGAATTAATTAGAAAAAGCGTTTTTCGTTAATAACTCAAGAACCCCTTAACATATTTACAGTGGCGACAACTCGTATGAAAATAGAATGATTCGTCTTTCCAACAAGCCTACAAACATGTTAGTACTTTCGTAGATACGCTTGCTATGAGTTGTAGAAATTGAAAAAAAAATGAATTGTATCGATTAGAAAAAAAAATTGAATTATTTAGAAAAAGAGTTTTCCGTTAATAACTCAATATCCCCTTGAGATAATTACATCGTCGACAACTCGTATGAAAGTAGAATGACTCATCTTTCCAGCAAGCCTAAAAACAACATCGTACTTTTATCGAGTCGCTTGCTACGAGCTCTAAAAATTGAGAAAAAATTTGAATTATTTAGAAAAAGAGTTTTCCGTTAATAACTCAAGAACCCCTTGAGATAATTACATCGTCGACAACTCGTATGAAAGTACAATGAATCATCTTTCCAACAAGTCTATAAACATCTACGTACTTTTATCGAGTCGCTTGCTACGAGCTGTAGAAATTGAAAAATAAATTGAATTATTTAGAAAAAGAGTTTTCCGTTAATAACTCAAGAACCCCTTAAGATAATTACATCGTTGACAACTCGTATGAAAGTAGAATGACTCACCTTTCCAACCAGCTTACAAGCATCTTCGTACTTTTGTCGAATTGCTTGCTACGAACTGTAGAAATTGAAAAAAAAAATAAATTGAATTAATTAGAAAAAGCGTTTTTCGTTAATAACTCAAGAACCCCTTAACATAATTACAGTGGCGACAACTCGTATGAAAGTAGAATGATTCGTCTTTCCAACAAGCCTACAAACATGTTAGTACTGTCGTAGAGGCGCTTGCTAGGAGTTGTAGAAATTGAAAAAAAAAATGAATTGTATCGATTAGAAAAAAAATTGAATTATTTAGAAAAAGCGTTTTCCGTTAATAACTCAAGAAACCCTTAAGACAATTACATCTTCAACAACTCGTATGAAAGCTCAATAGCTCACCTATCCAGCAAGCCTACAAACATCTTCGTACTTTCATCGAGTCGCCTGCTATAAACTGTAGAAATTGAAAAAAAAAAATTGAATTAATTAGAAAAAGCGTTTTTCGTTAATAACTCAAGAACCCCTTAAGATAATTACAGTGGCGTCAACTCGTCGTCCCTATCTAAATTCCTCGTAGTATTCGTTGATTGATTTTTGAATGCCATTATTATTGATTCTTGTGCCTGCTTCATTCTGCTATAGCGGAAATAAATTGTATTATGTCGTCTGAATAATTTATTGGCATTTTTTTCCTCGCAGAGAACCTGGTAGTTGATCTAATGTTCAGTAAGACCGACAAGTTACACGATTTTGTTTTAACTTCGGATGGTGTGAGTCCCATAGGATGAGCTGAAGAAAATCAGACTTCTTGAGTCATCCAATGGTTGATTATTGCTATTTACGCACCTAGTTGCTCCTTGGTCAGATTCCTCCCACGCCTAAAATTAGTGGGAGGAGTACCAGATCCTTGTTGGGCTATTTTCTCGCTGCTATTGAACAGAATTGTAAACATGTAAGCATAAGCTCTTAATCGAACAAAATCTGGCAAGTAATCTTCTAAATATCAAACTACATTATTAATCCGAGGACCTTTCTAACACACTTGCAATGAATGTTGTTTCGTGACCTCGGTAACACAGGTAAATCATCAATAAAGAAATGCAGTGGTTGGCGAAATTGTGTAAGACGCGCAAACTAAGTATGACATGAATGTATACATTTTATTATATATTAAGTTTCAGGTTCTTAAGTATCAAGTTCTACATTAATTTCTTTTAATGTGATTGAACAAATAATTATAATATTTGTTTAACCAAATAAACATATTTATGGATTTGTGGTGTGGAGAACTTCAGTTTATATGTTATTTCTGTCTTTATCATTTTCGAACAATAGTCTTAAAGAGACAATATTTAATTTGCATCCAATTTCCCTAAATAAAACAATACTATTACCTATTACTTGCGCCCCTAGGATTCAAGCGCCTAGAGCCGTCACCCCCTTGCTGCAACGTTGTTTATATGTAGGGTAACCAGACGTCCAATTTTTTTGTTAAATATCCCATTGTCTCCGAAATGTTTTTTGGGATCATTGTATTTATAGTAAAGAGAGAGACACAAAACAGCAATATAAGTATTTATCAATTGAGATGTTATTTAATAAAGTGGTATAAATATATTTTTATCCTCTTTTTATATTTATAATTATACATTTAATGTAGCATGATTTCTTGATAAACTAATCAAGAGATTTTTACTAATTCTAATATTATTAGTTAAAAAAAACAACTTTCTAATTGCAATTATTATTGATTATTAGGACTTCAGTATTCACCGCCTTTTAGCAGATATTAGCTAGTGTATTAAAAACAACTTCGTAAACAAGATAAAATGAAACCAAATAGTAGAAAAAATATTAATATTAAAAATTTATAAAATGAAATTATCTATATCAGTGATTCACAGTGCAGTGTTGCATAAAAATTGATGACAGATTAATCCGGGATGTTTTTCTACTCATGTCCATTTTTCGGGGGTCACAAAAATTATTTTTGGGAAACGCTATATCTTATCCAAAAATAAAGTTAATAAATTGTATAATTATTTTTTCCTCTATGCAAATCTGTACTGTTGGTTGCATGCCCATCGACATATTGAAAACTGTATATTTCAGTTATTAACGAAGATTTCTTATTAGTTGCTATATTATAAGAGAGTAATAATTGATTTTATAATAAAAAATACCGTTTTTGAATAATATAAAATACAATTTGTATCATTACATTAGAGTTGTTAATATATATATCAATATTTGAGTGATGAAAATTTTCATTAATTTCTAATAGACTGGATTCATTATCCTTTTCTTTTGGATAGAAGTTTATTGTTTGAAATATATTCAAAATTAAAATTATTTAGAAGATACTCAATGAAGCAGGTACATAAATTATTGATTTGGAGGCAATCTGGGATAATGAGACCCTATAGTGTTATGATGATACGAATGCAAAGTTCAAACCACTCAACTCCGATTGGATTACCTTCAATGATGCAGAGCACCTTGACATGCTTGCAAAAATGTTTGCCAAGAGGAGCTCCACTGGGTGTTAATTCATTTCAAGCAGAACAGATGCGAATGGTTTATCTAATTGATAGAAAACCGACGTACTTTGAACCAATATTGAACTGGCAAACTGATTTATGACCACCATGTTAATCTTAAGGGGATTTTGGATTATCTTTGGAATCAATCTTATTGTTTAACATATATTTAAATAATAATACTATTATAATCCAACAGATTTATTTTTTTCTTCCTTTACCATATTGTTAAGTTAATCTTATTCTTTGTATTCTTGAAAGAATATTGTTTTTTTATATTAATTATTTACAAATATTTATTGGCCAAAGACCCGTTTAATTTGATTTTATTTTTTGTTATTGTTTTAAGTTATTATAATATGATTTTTTGAAAAATTTTCATAAATGAAATTCTTACCCCATAACATACTACACCATTGCTCCCCCCAGACAACTAAAAAGAATTCTTCAGTTTGAACGCAAATGCATCCGCAAAATTCTTCGCCTTCACTACCGACACCCCTCTTCCACTCTCTATAATCTGGTCACCTTCCCAAACATCCTCGAATACATAAAAAAAACTCCAAGGCCGACTCGCTTCACGCATAGCCCTTCAAGATCACCCCACCCTCTCACTCTTCAAACCCCCTTTAGGGCCAACATTCTCCAAAGTTCCAAAGGAAAAAATCCCTCACACTCCTGTCGTGCTGGCGTACTACGCTAACTCCAACGACCCCACATTAACACAACTTCTCCAAGACTTTAAAAAACACTCCTACGCAACTCAGTGATGTAAAACATTCTTCCTATGCTTTTTCGTGCAGTGAAGTGTTATTTGTTTAAGTGCATCTATATTTGTGTCCTCGCTCAGTTCATTTATTTCATTTCACTGTACTCTGTTACTAATATTTATTTGTGCTCTCTTATCTTTGTTTATTATTATTTTTGATGTTTTTTTTTTGTAAAACCTTAATAACAGAAGGCTGAAAGAGGCTAAAGTCCATAGCAGTCTATATTTAATACCACACCTTATATCATTGTATCACAAATATGTAAATAAAAATGGTTTAAATGTATACCAAATATTGATTAAATTATACTTATTAAATGTTTATTTTATATTTGAACTAATTATTTACATAAATTATTAAACTGAAATTCATAAATGTCTATTAATTAAATATTTAAATTTCATTATGAAATTGAATTTTTTGAAGAAAAAGGAACGGTGAGAATGGTGATAACATATAGAAAATTTCCAAAGAATTTTGAAAATTCTAAAAATTTACTAGTGGTGAAAAAAGGAACTATTCTGCGGTCACATAGGCTTTGGTGGAAAGGAGACGGCGGCCAAGAACTGTTTCTTAGCTAGTGCGCAACCGCACGGAAGTTTGTAGCAGAGTATATAGCTTGTGCGCCAGTTTGTAAGCCCATCAGTCATCATCACCCGCCATTTGTGTTGCAACTTTTGGTGTTGTATAAACGGTGTCATCAGTGTTTGTTTGTTTCGTTTCCATATCGTTGTTCAGTTCAGTTTCCTTCGAGATGGTTGACAAAATCGATATGAGTTTGGATGACATCATCAAGTCTGGAAAGAAGCAACGAGGTTTTGCTGCTGGCGGAGCAGTACGTAACTATGGTGGAAACAAAAGAGGCGGTCGTGGGGGAGGAATTACTCGCAACTCTGGTGGAGGTGCTTGTCGCAGCGGAGGCAGTGCATCAGCTGGAGGAAGTCTATCGTTTAAGAGAAAACAAAGTGGTGGCTTTCAGAACGGTCGCAGTCGTGGTGGTGCTATTGTCAGACCATACACCAGGGTAAGAATATACTTTTAGACTATATTGGAACCTCGCTTAAGTTTTTGAAGGGCCAGAAATTCCTAAATTTCTAGACAACTGAAACAAAATCGGATGGTATGGCTTATCAAATTCCATCCTTTGACATACCACCTAATTTATTTTTTTTATTATTTATATACAATTTTAACACTATTTATTATACATTTTTATTATTATTTTCCTTATGTGTATGCCCCTCAGGTTCGGTTATTTCGGTACGCTCCTTGGAACCGGTATTTTGAGTGGGCTTGTTGGTTTTCCATGTTCTATGTCTTGGTTCCGCGACCCTGCGTCCAACACATCATTTTTATTTTGAACTTCTTTATGTCATTTTCTATTCTTATTTCTTCTGGAACCATGTTGACCTGTACAACGCCCAGTACCATTATGTTAGTTGTATTTTGTTCCATTCTTATATTTCTTATAGCTCTCGTATTATGATCGTGTGTGTCGCAGCCGAAAGACAGGCCTATCCGGGTATTTTTTTTTGTGTATTAGTACGTTTCTCTATACCTCCCCCCACATCCGGTATCTGCGTGTCTCGGCTATATATTTTATTAACTTTGCTAGTTGTCTTGTTAATGCTTTTACGTTTTCTTTTGCTGTGTTTCCCCACACCGCCACACCATAGCAAATCCTTGAGATAAACATACTATGGTGCACTGCCATCTTGCACTTATCCGGGAGAAATTTGTTTAATTTTTCACACATCCAATTGTCGTAGCATTTTTTTGTAAGCTTATGTGGTCATTTCAACCCAGTTTGTTGTTTAGCAGTATTCCCATGATATTGTTTATGGTGATGTTTAGTTGGATTTTTCTAGCATTATTTTGTTGTAGGATCATGTAGTGTGTTTTAGTCTCGTTTATTGTTAATAGATTGTCATCGTACCATGTCTGTAGTTTAATTATGTCATTGTTGATGCTGTTCTGCAACGCCCTTTCCTCCCTGTATCCGTACAGAATACATGTGTCGTCCGCATTCATGTATATGCTTCCCTCGAACTCAATGTCGGCTCTATCATTTGTATAGATATTTTATAGCGTAGGAGCAAGGACTCCCCCCTGATGGACTCCACATTCGTAGCACATTTCAGAGCTCTCTGTACTCATCATCTTTACTCGCTGAGCCCTACTTGTAAGGTAAGACTCAAACAGCGCTGCCTCCCGACTCCTAATTTTTTGGAGCAATCTCCCTCTGTGGATCGTGTCAAAAGCTTTTCTTAGATCTACAAATGGCTCTCATATGGCTTTCCAGAATTCTTCTGATCTCCGTAGTCAAGTCCAGCAACACCGCAACCGTACTCGACTTTTCCTGGAATCCGTACTGCCGTTGATTAGTCAGGTTGTTGTTATTCATATAATCGTTTAATCTTCTGTAGATTACTTTTACCACTATTTTGGCAAACACTGATGTTATCGGCCTGTAGTTCTCCGTTCTATCTTTTTCGTTATTTTTAAAAATTGGTATTATTGTAGCATTTTCAGTACGTCCCGGTAGCTGCCGGAACTCAGAATTATAGGATAATTCCTTTTTTCTAGACATTTTCCAGAAAATTATAATAATGCCCCACCTAGGCATGTTCAAAAGGTGGTACATTACATGTACCACTGCCCCTTAAAGAGTTAATAAGCATAATCCAGAATTTTTACTCATATAGTGAAACTATTTCCCCCATATAAAGTAATGTAAAATACGATAATGCATTCCATACCAGATTGTGGATGACTCTTTATACTTTTTATATTTGATCATATAAAAAAGCGTCCATAGTTTCTTTATATACTATAATAATGGATAGACACAATACATTTTTGTTTTGCTTTTACAGCAAACACAAATTTTATTTGCTGTAAATTCAAAATGAAAAGAAACTTTCTTGTATCGAGGTTTTCCAAATTAGTGCTATTCAACTGTTGTGTTACAATTGTGTGCTCATCTGAATTATTATGTCCTGCAGGGAGATGTCAATAGTGCTTGGAAACATGATTTGTTCAAGGGCTTTGGCCTACGCACACTTGCAGCTGTCAAAGCCGCTGTTTATCAGCAGCAGCCAGCCTCAGGTCCAACAAGGCTTTTTCTCTCCAACCTATATTTCGGTGTATCAGACTCTGATATTCAGGAATTGTTCGCCGAGTTTGGCCCACTAAAACGTGCAGCAGTCCACTATAACAGATCAGGCTGGTCTTTAGGCACTGCCGATATTGTCTTTGAGAGGAAAATGGATGCCCACAAAGCCCTGAAACAGTACAATGGAGTGTCATTGGATGGCCGTGCAATGATCATCCAAATAACCACATCAGAGATGTTTCCATTGAGGAGCAGCAGGAGAACGCCACCAGCTGAGATCAAATACACTAAACCTAGTACACTTCGAGCCAGGAGTAGACCTACTAGAGGTAATAATTATATTTATTTTTTTATTAATTGATTAAATACTAATTGTAATTATTATTTTTTTAGGTACCAGAGGGGGTAGAGGAGCTGCACGTAACGCCAAAGCTCCAAGGAAATCAGCGCCCACAGCGGAAGAGCTGGACGCTGAACTTGATGCTTACATCAAAGAGTTGTTGTAAACAAAAAACAAAAATATTTTGCGCTGACTTAAAATGTTATATTTGTTGAGTATTCTCCCAAGTATACTTTGTTTAATTGTTTTTAAATAATGCAAAAGTATTTCCTGAGGCTCAGAAACGTATTTTTTAGAAATTATAGTTTATTTCACAAAATTAGAATTAGTAGCAAGTGTATTTTGTACCTATGATACAAGCAGATAGAGCGTGTGTCTCTTTTGTTTTTCTTTGCGATCTTATCGAAGATATTTCATTTGGGTTTCTTCCCTTCATTAGATTTAAGTTTAATGTAAGTATCTAAGTGTTGTACATAAATATATGAATCTTTGACTAAAATAACTATTTTATTATAATCAAAAGAATCCTATAGATAATAAGATAAAAAGCAAGTAATATAATTAAACAGATTTATTAATTAAAAGTTTTAATTAATTCTGGAAGTGTCCTTTGGCACATAAAATAACCTAAAAATATTTGGAAAATATTTTTATGGTGCCAAGTTGCATGTATGTGTATATGTGTGCGTACTGGCCTACGTGTTGTTTGTTAATTTTATTGCAGGTGCTGAATATTTGTAAAATAGTAAAATGACCAAGGAATTCACAGAACCCAGGAGAACTCAGTTAATCCCAGACACTGCAAGAATCTGCCAAACTAAGTATTTACAAGAATTCAATAAATACAATAAAAAAAACTTTCCATTTAAACCTTCAATTTTCAGGGAAGTCAATAGGAAAACAATGTCATATTTCAATTTTCATGAGGAATGGGAAAAACTATTTGAAAAGGTGATGCATATTTTGGAGACAGTGTCTCGGATGAAACCTCCAAGGATAAAGAAGAAAGCACAATGAGCATGCCTGTAAAGCAGCAGAAGGATAAGCCAAAAGCCAAAGCTGTTCACGGGCAGAACAGTGATGGTGCTTACTTGTTAAACTCGCAAAAGAAGAATGCAGCTAAGAATACATTTGAAACACCAGAATTAAAGTTATCCAAACCATTGGATGAGAAAATAGAGAGTGCTGATAAGAAAAATGTTGAATTGAAACTTTGCTTTTTTTAAAGCAAATCACAGTAATTAACAAAATGTATAACATTCTGAATGTGCTTGGAAAGGGTGGAAGTTCTACTGTCTATGATTTCTTTAATCCACAGACTAAAACAGCGTGTGCCATTAAATGTGTTAGTCATTGGTTACATTGCAGGGCTGGCACAGAATCATAAAGTTGTATGCTTAGTAAGTAAATAGTTTATTTTTCTTGAATTATACATAAGAAAAGGCTGTTTGTGGTACTGGAAAAAGGTGGAAAAGATTTGGCTATTATATTGAGGGAGTTAGTGTATAGTTCCAACCATATGCCACTTTACATGGTCATTTACTATTGGATGGAAATGCTTTACGCTGTTAAGGAGATTCACAACATAGGTGTTATCCAATCCGATATTAAACCCGCAAATTTCGAGGAATTCAAGGGTTGCATAAAATTGATAGACTTTGGGAGCGTATCGAGCGTTCAAACTATTTTGATTATATTTCTATATTAAGAAGATTGACAGACGTTCTTTGCGAATCCACATTTCAAAATCCCAAAACTAATTTAAATATTTACGTAGTTGTAGTTTTGTAACAAATATTCTACTTAAAGAAGATGAATTGTAAGTTTGTGGGAAGACTATGAGCTTATTTAATTTTAAATTAATTATTATACAATGTATTATACTATTATATAATTTAAGTCTTTTTACTATCTGTTTTGAATATCTCAGCTGCAATCTGAGAGAGTATCACTTATGTATTCGACTTTGTTCAGGTGACACGGCTGCATCGTCGAAAATACCCTGCTTATATTATTGCTGTTCATATTCCATGGAAAATTAAAACATATATTAATAGTCAAATAAAGCCAAGCTAAGACTTAATAAGGGGAAAACTATTGAAAGGACTCCCATTGAAAGGAATTGTTTTGATCACACAAATATTTAATACTATACTACGTACAGGTTACTTTCCAGCGCAGTGGAAAGTCGCACAAATTATAATAATAGCTAAACCAGGAAAACTTGTCGAAGAAATCAAGTCGTACAGACCCATAAGTCTTTTACCGATATTATCAAAAGTTTTCGAAAAACTTCTTGCTAACCGATTGCAACCTATTATAGCGTCAAATATGCTGATAGCAGACCATCAGTTTGGCTTTCGTTGCAAACACGGCACAATACAGCAAGTAAACAGAATAGTAAATACCATCTATCAAGACCAGAAAAGTAAAAGATACTGCTGCCTTTTTAGACATATCGCAAACTTTTGACAAAGTTTGGCATCTCGGACTATTATACAAAATAAAGAAGAACTTGCCATATAATTATTTTAAAATAATAAAATCATACCTTGATAATAGAATGTTTCAGGTAAAAATAGAAGACGAATACACCGATTTATACCCAATAGAATCAGTGGTTCCGCAAGGAAGTGTTTTAGGACTACTGCTTTACCTTCTATACACGGCAGATATTCCTAAAACTAAGCAGTATCCGAATATCTACAGGAAAATTTAGATAAGCTTAAAAAATGGAGAATAGCAGTTAACGAAATGAAATCCGTGCATATCACATTCATGCAAAAAAAGACACCTTCCCAACTGTAAGAATTAATGGACAAGATCTGCCCAAAACAACAAAAGTCGAATTCTAGGCATGCATCTAGACTGAACACTCATCTGGAAATATCACATTCAGGCTAAAAGGGAGCAATTAGAAATAAAGTTTTGAAAACTCTACTGGCTTCTAGGGAAAAGGTCGGAATTATCAGTAGAAAATAAATTACTTATATACAAAGTAATACTGAAACCAGTATGGACATATGGTATCCAATTGTGGGGTGCGACCAGTAAATCGAACATACAAATTATTCAAATGTTCCAATCAAAATGCCTAAGAAATATTATTAGGGCTCCATGGTTCGTCAGGAATAAACAAATACAAGAAGACCTCCATATAGATATAGTCGAAGATACAATAGCAACATTTAGTAGATGCCAAGATAGACTGGAGTCACATACTTATGTTCTGGGTATTGGCCTACTGGACAACAGTGAAACCACAAACAGGATGCAGTGTTGTAAACCACTAGATTTAGTATATAGATTTAAGTAATTATTAATGTTCAAATCATCATATTGGTAACTATCCACCGGGAAAGATTATCCATCTATTGTCAACCGCGATCTCAAATTTACTCAATGTTCACATTGATGAACAAATTGTGAATAAAATTATACGACATAAAAAAAATCTTTGACGACGCCCCAAACTTATCCTTTTTAACTGTCGAAGCCTTAGGCTGCGGCTGTCTGAGTATACAGGATAAAGGATTAGTGTCATCCACTTTATGTTTCTCCGATTTTTCAATTGTCAACTTCCATGTCTGAAATCGAAAGATTTAGTATTTTTCGTTTCGCGTGCATCGAGCAGTCCTCTGGACCGACCTGGTTATTGCTGATTTCTCTTTCCATTTGATTCGATCTATTTCCGTCGGGGTCAACGTCGTCAGTTATTTGCAGCACTTCCGGGTCAAGGGTCATACAACTTATTTAAGATACGAAAGCGATTTAATCCAAATCTACACGCACCGGTATTAGTTCTTAATTTTATTTTACCTCGACTATAGCTAACTTTAACTTTACTGCGCTCTCCTTTTCTTTGAAATACAGGTCACTCTGCAGTCTCCACTCCTGACATTTCAACTTGAACTTCTTCTCCAGATTGGAAATCAGGCTGCACTGAATTTGGCATTCCTTTTTGGCGTTAACGAGATTCATATTGATTGCATCCTTTTCCGATTCGCTTTTCTACGAATAATAATGGGAAACAAAAAAAAAAACAGATTGCGTGTCAAGATTTGACCTTTTTCCAACACGATGGAAAATTCCGCACCGTCGATCTCTTCTCCAGATCTGCTTTTTCCTTACGTTCGCCGTTCAGCTCGCGGTACAGAGAAGCCACGGTGTCCTCCTTTTCACCGATATTTCTCCTTAACTGCATAATCGTATTCCTCTGGTCATCCAGCATCTTATCCATAATCTTGAGCTTGTCCTTCTACTCATCCAATAATTTTCTATAATCAGTAAATCATGAACTTTTTAAAAAGGAAATTGAAGGCCAGAAGACGGAATTACCTGAGAGCGTTGATTTCATTCTCCAATGTGGCGTTACCGATGAGGCTGTCTGTCTTGAGCGAATCGTTCAAGGATCTTATGTGCCTCTCCAAGTTTGCGTATTGGGTCTTCACCTTTACCGCCTCGACCTCATGCGTCCGCAGCTTGGACTCCTGCAATCCAGCTTGAGTTTAAAATACCATGCAACACGGTCAAACCTCGTTTACTTTCGAGCTCAGCGACGTATTCTGTACGATTATGATACTGTTCTGCTGATTCTTCAAACTGATCAGGTACAACGCTCATCTTTTTCAGCAATCAACTCCTGCTCTTTCAGACACAAACACGACTTGAAGCTTTCCATCTCCGATTCTAAAGATTTCACCCTAAAAGCAAAGCATTCAGTTCAGTTTCTATTACAGAATTGCTGACCTCAAGGCATTTGCATTTATTAATGACTTCTTCCTAAGCAGGTCGTTCTCCAAATCGCACCAATGGTGCAATTCTTCTCCGTCATAATCTTCAACAATTTATCATATTTATTAGCGATCATCTTGTGGCATGATAGCTGCTTTTCGTAATTACGAATAATGATCAAAGCCTGCGATTTTTCCTCCTCCAAAGTGCACAACTGTCTTTTCCTTACATCATCTCCAATGTAGCTCTGATCCGCTTACTTTTCAATTTCTAATCAAGAACAATTTATTATGTAAGATCAAATGATGCAATGATTCTAAACCTGCTCCATTTATCTAAGTCGTTACGTCGAGGAACAAAGATCGTTGGGTTCTTCGTGATTGCAGCATGATCCTTCCTCGTGATTGGAGCATTGGATCACTTATTTACTTATTTACTTATTT